ATGGTATAGAGTTGCCTAATGCGTACCGCTCACTTAAATAATATTTCATCAATTTATTTTGTTATTGAATATAAGTAACATAAATAAAACTGTGACTAAAATATAACCAAAAAATATAACCAAAAAAATAACCAAGCAAATGAAATATGTAATTACAAAAATTTCCAAAATATATTTTAATTTGTTGTATAAATATTAAAAAGTCAGATACAATTGATATAACTTTGTATCAATTTACATAATTGATAATAATCTAACAATGTAGTTTTATACTGCATACTATATGGTATATTTATTCTTACCCTCTCATTACATAATCGATTACCGAATCTCCTCTTCCTCTCTACATTACGTCCATTCTCCTTTTCATTTCCTTCCATCTCTCACATACTGTTAATTGAGGGGCCTATTCTGTAACTTTTAATAACGATATATAATATATATTATATTGTCGTTGCGCAGCTTTTTTACTATATACAAATACTGCGCAATGACAATGTAATGATATCGTTATAGTCGTTAAGGATTACAGAATAAGCCCCTAAATGTTTTATTTCTTTTTGTCTTAAATTATGTCATTCCTCCTGCAGAGCGTTGCGGAGGAAAAACGTTGATAAATACGAGGAGACAATATACGTTATTAAACACATATATATGTACACACACACACACACACACACACACACACACACACACACACACACACACACACACACACACACACACACACACACACACACACACACACACACACATAATTAGATTCTTGGCACGCCGTTGATTCTGGGTAATGCCAAAAGCAGAACACACTCAAGTACATATATGTACACGCACATACTTACACCAGCTTTAAAAACTTTAGATTTACAATTCACATTTTAATTCCATTTTTAATAAAGTTATTTCCAATAATAATTTGTTTCGGAGTTATATTGAATATATAAGAAAAAATTGTTCGTTTTGTAACACTTTTCTTAAAAAATGGTATAACTTTGTAAAAAAAATCATATGCATATGTGTAAAAACAATCAAATGCATATACAATATGTTTATATACAATATGTATAAAGAGTGAGAGAAAAAGATATACAACACTTCCGGCACTTTCTTCCTAATCTTCAGATTTGCATAAGACTAATATATTAAGTCAGCAACACATGATGCTTGTTTTCTTGCTGAATTGATGTATTAGATTCTTGCCGTATTGGCTGCGATGCTAGCACTATCAGCAATTCCTTAAGAATTAAAATATAGAAATGGATTCATTTGGTCATTGCTAAATCCAAAATTATGATTTTTCAGATACAGGATAGCATATTATTATTCAAAACTATAACGAGTTTTCTATTTTTTGAACATTTAAACATCCGCCAAACTAGATCCATCCTAAATAATTTAAAAATTTACAATTTTTTTTATTTCATATTTGACGAAAACATTAGGAGTAACTCAAAACTCAAATTTTATAATTTTAACAGTCGATTATGAAATTTATAAAATAAAAAAAAGTGATATCAATATAAGACATTCGTCTTGAATGAAAAGATTGAATAACTGCATGATTTTTTATGATATTATAAAGAGGATATTAAGACGAATTAAAAATGCATCAGCGGATATGTTATTTTTATAAATATTTAATATTAAATTTATATTATTAAAAATTGCAGCACATTCATTCTACTTTATTGTTCTATTTCTAACTAAAAATATAAACATTTATAAAAGGTGTCCACATATATATATATA